GGAGGGGTGTGAACAAGAGGAGCATTCAAGCGACTCCATGAATGAGCGACCAGTCTCCGAAAGGAGCAAGAAGGAACGAAGCGGAATGAATTAACCGCAACGGCAAGACGGGTAAGGGAGGAAGGAGGGGGCGTGTGTGAGCAGCACCTGCAGCTCCATGTACATATTTGAGGACATGGAACAACTGGATGCAAGCAAGCGGTCGGACCAGTTGGGACTGTCCGTGACTGACATGCTCGCCTTCCACATCTCGCATCCTCATTGTCGCCCAATTCTAATGAATACAACGCCGGGGCCCCCAGAGTTGCGGGATTTGACTTCCGCCTCCCCAAAAGCGGCCACACATACTGACAACACTTGAGCTCGAGCCCGCCCAAACCGCCCAAAAGGCCAGACACGGCCCGCCAGCTAGTCAGCTATTGTGGAAGATGGGGGGATGGCGGTGCTGTGCACCTCTGACCGCCTCGATGTCCAGCTCACACCCAACACGCCCAAAAAGCGTCCTCGTCCAATACAATACCACGGCCTCCCTCCCAACCTTGGTTGACGCTGCGATTGTGGCCACCCCCCATGGCGGGCCAGATTGGAGTAACAATCCCACCGCTCGCCACGACAATACAGGAAATCCGTTTGTTTGCTACCTGTTTGCTCGTTTAGAGCAAGCCTAGCCGGTATTCTCTGCTTCGCGGGTTTGCCGGCAGTCTACGGCAAGATGGATGTACGGGGTGCTTACGGAGTACGGAGTGCACCATCGGTGCTTATCATACCTGAGTGGCGGTCGGGAAACAAACAGCACCAAATATTCTGTTTACTCAGGATTAATCGTATATACGGAGTACTCCGTACTCGTATGCGCCTAACCTGCCAACATGCCATGCATTTTGCCAAACCAGGCCGGTGTGTGAACCTTGGCGCATCTCCCGCCTGCGAACTGACAGGTATGTAGCAGATGTGAGCGATTCGAGCGACACAGCTCTTGGTACAGGCATCGAGCCAGCTGGCTGGGTACACACAATTTAATGCTAGCTTTAGGCTCCTGTGGTGGCTACTCCGTACGGAGTACTGTACATGCTATTATCTCAGTCACGGGTTTCTGCTCACATTTCCGTTGCCAACAAACGACATCTGGACTGCCCTCACCCGCGGCACACCGCCCCTATCTTCCGAGTCCGCGCCAAGCCAGGGTATCAAAGACACGGGATGTCGATAACAGGGTCCGTCTTACAGGCCCAACATTCGTTTTCTCGCAGTAGTTATCCGTAGCCAAGATATCACCAGAAAATACAAACAAAGCAAAACTTGGCCGGTTTTACCATCGGGCTGACCAGACGCTTGGGAATTATAATCCACATTCGCATTTAACTTGAGGACCAGGTGCGGCACACGATGCAGATTGCTTCTTTTGCGCATGCCGGCCACGAAAAGTCAACATGGCTCTCCGTATTTTTTTTCTCCTCCACTATGGAGTACTACTTTCTTATTGCCCTGAGGGCTATTCAAAAGAGGTGTGAGTGAGTGAGTGAGTTTGTGGTACAGTAATGTTAGAAATTAGAACAAAGGCACCAGCCGCTCGCGGCTGTACAAAGAGGGGTTGGAAAGATCCTTGGTGGCGCCCGCAAGCATCAAACCATCAAAAAGCGTGTCTTGTTTCCTCTTTGTAAGTGCTCCCTATCGACAGCTTGTACGCAGTAACACCAACGGGGGAACGAGTTGAGATGAACATTCTGGAGGGCAAAAGGTAACCAAGACATTACAGTAGGAAGGCGTCGTGCCACCAATGTAAATCTGACAGCTCGCAAAATATCCCCTCGTTGGTGCTACGACTCAGCAGCGGGAGGTAGCGAAGAAAAAATGAATACTCAGGCAATATACGACGCGTATAGTGTACAGAGCACCCGGGCCGTTGACACGGTTCCCTCTCTCCGCGGTGCGACAGATGACTCCCGTCCACGACAAGATGATGGAGGCAAGGAGGAATTAGCCACGAGATGCAGCACTCACAAACGAGATGCTGCCATTCGACTCCGGAGGGCAACCCTAACCAAGGATTGTCTGGAAACCGTCAACGGGTCAGCCATTGATTCAAAGTTCGGGCACACCAGCCACAGCGCCTATTCGAGGAGCATGAATGGAGGCTGAGCACAGCCGGGCCTATTCATAACCCATTATTCTCATTAGTCCCCATCCACACAACAGCGTGGCAAGCTTCTCCGGCCGCCTAGCTCATCTGGGCTGGGCATTCTGAGGCTGATTGTTAGACGTCGTACCGACAACTAAGAAGCTTTCCCGGAAGAGTTGTGGAAGTGAATGGGCAATCGGGCGCTGACAATACATGCTAGGCAGTCAACAGTGGCGTAACGTGTCTACCTATTCAGCCCTACTATACATAGTCGTGGAGCCAGAAAGCAGCCATAGATGAGAATCCAAGTGCCGACCGACAAGCCGATTCGCTTGCTCGGGGCGGGCTTTGTTTCTATGAGGCGCTGTGCCTGTTCTGTACATACAACACAGTACTCCGTGTGCCGTTGGGTTTCGATTCTGAATGCGTGATGAATGAGTCAGATCTTGAAACGCACTCACACCTCACAGATAGGGCCGCATTGTTTTGCGGTGCCTGCACCGCCTTTTGGATGAATTTTCGAGTGGTGGGGCGTGTACTTAGGAAGAGCCTCCTTTGATGCCAGCCTTGGAACATTCTTTTTCCACGGGGAAGAGCTGTTGCTGCAGATGGGGCGGTGGTGGCGAGTGGGCATCGTATCGTACATACGGAGTCCTCCATGCTGCATACTTGCCAGCTTACCGTCTTCAGAGTCATCGATGCCCTGACAACAACCTGGTACAGCAGGCCCTACAAGGACACGGTTTTTGTTTGTGTGACGGACAGAATGCGACAAAGAGACGCCTGCACCTCATATCCAGGTCGCATGCGTGCAGCTTCTTTGGCGCTGCAGGGCTGACAGACCGGAATCTGGGTCGTCGCCACGCGGGATACACAGTCATTTCCTCCCTCGTGCCGTGGCTCATAGCGGGCAGAACTTTCGGATTGCTGACCATGGAAATAGTCTCTAGCAGGCTAATGGCGTCCTGGGCGTAATACAGGATTTACACAAAGAGCTCGCCAAGCTGAGGTTGGTCAGGATAGCGTTGCAACGCATAATCACGCCCGGAGCAGT